CAGGGAGCGCGGGGTCCGTGTCCCGCTGGGGCCGCGGCGGCGGCCGCTGACGCCGGTGTTGAATAATGAAAATTCCGAGGAGGCAACTTGGGAAGGTCTCGGCAGCGCTCGCTGCGGGGGGGTGGGTGTTTGCTCCTGCCCTCGCAGGGCACCCCCTCGGCTGGGAACCCCCAGGATGTGTGACAGAAGGAGGGCACCGGAGGAGATCGCGCTGCGCCCCGTTCGCGGGGTAACCCGCCTCCCCTCTCCCCGCCGCCCAGACTGCGGCTTCTCGCCGCCCCAGGAGCGGGTCACGTCCGCTCCCGAGGCAGAGCGAGCATCCCCCCCTTTGCCCCCTCATCCCCCCGGGCCGGTGGGGACCCTGCCGCCTCCTGCCCGGCTCCCGCTCTTCTGCGCGCTCCCGGCTCGGCTGGTTTATTTAAGACAGCTTGTTGTTTTCGTAGCACAAGGGACATAATATCTGTCCACACGGCGTGATTTATTGGGGCTTGGAAACGGGCCAGGGAGTCTAAATTCAGATTCAACAAGAAGCGTGGTTCCAGCCAGCAGCCTCGCTCGTTGCGTACACCAGGTTTAACAGATTTTTTTCGTTCTCCCTCTGCTGCTGATTCCTCCCAAAGGGCAGCTCACCATAACCATAGCAGCAAAACTGCCTTTATTTCTTTGCTTATATTTGTTTTATCATCCCTCCTTCCTCTCCATCCCCGAGCGTATCCGTGTGGGTCCTGGGGTCCTGGGGGCTGCTCGGAGAGTCCCTCTGCTGCTGTCGCCTGTCATCTACCTGAAGTCAGATGCTCTGGTTGTCGTTAGCGGCTGCTGTGGAAACAGGAACAGGACTTCGGCAGCAACAGTAGGAAGAGACATTTTTTCCAGGAGCTAAAAACAGCTCATTCTCCCCAGACCTCTTTCCAGTTTCGTGGGGGTAGATGAATCCCTGCTTAGAGTTAACATCTGCCTCCAAGTTGGATGCTAAACCAGAAAGAGCTGTTTCTTGATTCTGATTTGAATCTAGCCCAGCTCTTGCAAAAACCACCCAAAATGGTGGAAAAATACAGGTGGTATTGGCAAGATGTAGCAGGGGTTTGAAAAGCTTGAGTCCAAATCCCGTGTGAGTTGTTTGCAGTATTTGCATGGAACCCTGTACAAGTTTGGCCTTGAATCTGAGCCCCGGCCGCTGCCTAAATCTAATCCTGTGCCAGCGCATCTTGGTTTAAGGCAGGTGCTGCTTAGCCGTGTGCTCTCGGGGGGGCCAGGAGAAGCCCCTGGGAGAGGAGGGTGCGAGGGCACAGGCTGCTTCACTGAGCCCAGCTCCCTGCTGCTGCGGGCACCGTCTCCTGTAACGTCTTCATAAACGTGCTGAGCATCACTTGGTTGGTTTGTTGGTTTTTTTCACTTCTGTTATTAGGAAACTGTTCCAGAAACTGTTTGTATTAAAGATTAGAAACCTTGTAATTTCCAGCCAAAGCATGTTCAGGTCTCTCTCATACCCATGCTTTCCTCCCACCCTCATGTTTTGCCAGCCCTGGATTTTAGTTGAAGCAGTTCTTTTTCTGTCTCGTCACAATTTCTCCATAGGCTGCAGTCACGTCCCCGCCGGGTTTGTCACGTGAATTGGGCCAAACACTCTCCGGTTCCTCGGGTCCAGCTGCGTGCCAGCGCCCGTCCGCCAGCAGCAACGGGGGTTTTGTTGGGTTGTGCCCTAATTGCCACCTCCCTCCCGCAGCCCCTCTGGTGCCGGGCAAAGGGGCGATGAGCTCCCGGTGCTCCAGGGGGCGCGGGACGGCGGTGTGGGGTGCTGGGGTGTGCAGGCGGCTGTGGCGATGGTGCTCGGGGAGCTGGCACTGCCTGCCTGCCTGCGGCACAGAGAAACCCTCGTGCTGATCCTCGGGGCAGGCACAGCGCGTACGTGTGTGTCGACCTGGGCGTCTGCTGCTCACCCGAAGCATCATCCTCTCCTGGGCTCAGCTTCCCTGAGAAGGGACGTGGTGGGAAGAGGTGGGGAAAACAGGCACACGGAAAATCTGTGTGCTGGAACGGGCCCTTTCTGAAGAGAGAGCCTCTCGAGGGAATTTCATCCCCTCGTGAGCGAGAGGGAGCTCTCAGATGGGTGGGCCCCAGCAAACAAGCGACTCTACGTTAAATTCATGGTGGGCCAGAAGGAATCTCATGAGCCTGGAGGTGTGTGGTGACTTTCTGCGCGCGGTGCTGTGCTCAGGAGAGGTCTGTGTCCCTCTGCAGCGAGGAGCTGGACCCCGGGACGCTGGGAGACACCGGCTGCCGTGTGTCAGGCTGGGCGCCCGGAGAGCGTGTGCGTGTCCGCAGTGTGCAGGCGGGGGACGTTCTCGGTGCCGCAGGGTGCCCAGCAAACCCAGTTACCCCGGGAGGCCCGAGGGGACCCGCAGGGTTGTATCCGGCTCCCCCCAGCTGTGTGCGGGGTGAGCCTTGAGGGGTGGGGGGTCGCTGACGGGAGAGCGGGGTTCGCTCCCCCTGCGCAGCCTGGACCGGACTGTCCCCACCTCCGCTATGAGGTCGGTGCTGCGAAGAAAAGACAAATTAGCACTGATGGACTTCAGACTCAGAAACAAACACATGGATTTGTGCTGATGTCGTTGTCCTGAACCAGCGCAGGCTTTGCAGAGCTTGGCCTTGCCTTCCTCCACTGAAGCGTCTCCCTCCCTCCAGGCTGAGCACAGACTCGTCTCGGGGTCCTGCTGCCGCCCACCCCGGGACGTGCATGTCGGGGGTCTCGGGGACTGTCCCCACTTGGCTGAGCCAGAGTTTGCCCGTTTCTGCTGGTCACTGGTTTAAGGGAGGATCCGGCCTCCCTGGGGCCTGGCTGCAGGCCCTGCCTGGTTTAGAAGCCCCTTCCCTGGGAGCAGCAGTGCCGCCCCGTTCTGCTGCCCAAAGGTTTGGGTACCCCGCTACGTGCGGCGTGGGGAAACCTCCCGGGATGCCCGGGGAGGAGCCGCCCCTCTCCCCTGCGACGGCCCGTGGGTTTATCCTGCCGGGGCGGGGGGGTCCCCAGCTCTGAAGTGTGTGGGACAGGACCCCCCGGTGCTGGGCTCAGGTGGGTGCAGCACGTTCCCTGGACACCTCTCGTGGTGACCCCGGGGTGGATCTGGCACAGCCGGGGGCGTCCGTGTGTCCGTGCCTGCCCCAGGGGCTCGCTAAGGTCAGCGGCTGCCGTGCTGTGGCCGATGCCTTCGGCTCGCGCCATCTCCTCCCTTTTGTGGTG